ATTTTGACTAGTCAAAATAGCTTTTAAGGCCTTTCTTCTGACTCATCAGACTGTATATGCAGATATCTTAAATGACCACTCAGGATAGTCAAAATGTAGATGTTCATATAGTCAAAACTCATTATTAGATATCTAGAATGTATTTAGATGAAACTGATTTTATGTTAAAATAGCCTGCCACAGACCTTTTTCCTTCACTTTTCAGATCTCTGATGAACCACTGATCAAGCATAAATTTCTGTCAACTTAAGTCTGTGAGCTACAAGAATAAACTGTAATTTTAATCTAGAGCAGAACACAAGTGGGGTTCTTTTCAGAGGACTTCCGTTTCCTCTCACAGATCAAAATGCATGTTAGGTTGTTTGGTAACCCTAAACTGTCACAAGGTGGGAGTGAGTGGTTGAATGGTTGTTTGTCTTGGTTGTCTCTATGTGTCCATGTGATGGACTGGAGACCTGTCGAAGTGTCTCTTCTTTCCACCATCACCACCTCAGTGACTGCTGGACATAGGTATAAAAGAGAAGAGGGTAAAAGAAAATGCATAGATAGGCCTACTGTAAATATATAACAAACTGCGAGGCAGAGTTGTAGTTAATTAAAACTAACTAAATAACAAAAACTGAAATTGCAAAAAAACATTTTAGTTAACTAAAATAGATAAAAACTGTAATAAAATGAAAAAAAGATAACAGACTAAAACTGTATAATCTTTTTACAAAACTAACTAAAACTAATTAAAATCATCGATAGAATATCCTTAGTTTTAGTGTTTGTCAATTTATTTTGAGCCATGTGGATCTTTTTATTTTTTCAAATCGAGCAGTTTCACATTAGCTGTGGGCAGCTTAAGGCACCTCATGGTCTGTAACACTTGTTCACAGTCTGCTGCTGCTCAGCATCATCTGCCAAACTACGACAGCAAAAACTGGGAGAAAGCGGCAATGTCCACTTTGGGATTTCTTTGAATATGATGTGAGAAAAATAAAAGTAAGTGTCTTGTAGTGGAAACAGGTAAAAATGAAAATCTATCCAAGGGCTGTGGCCAAACACAACAATATAATTCAGGAAATACAAATACTTCTTAAGTACAGTCCTTCCTCGGGGCAAGACCCAGGACACGCTAGAGCAGGGGTCACCAATAGGCGGACCTGGGTCCGGATCCGGACCGGAATGGCACCTCATGCGGACCYGTACCCAATGCCAAAACAGAGATCACCACTTAAAACTTAAATGAGCGTGTGTAATGCTGCATTCTGATCTAACGAGAGTTGAGTGTGGGGGCATTGGGTTTACATACAAAGTCTATGGTGGGGCATTGAGAAGTGTTGCTGTGCGTTTTGAAGCGTTGGATGTACGTATAGCGCATCCAAAGAAGCAGACACTTGAGGTGGAAAATCTGAAATTTAGCAGTTAGAAATGGAGTGTCAGCCTCTGCTAGCCTTGTGTGACGTAGTGGCACATTTTCCGAGGGGATAATCTCCTGAATGATGCCCAATAAACTGAGACAGATGGACAGGAGCTCTCCAGCTGAAATCAAGCAGCTGTAGTTGATGTCCTGGCAGAAGATATGGGCATCGATGGGGGTCAGCAACCCAGTCAAACTGTGCTCAGGACAAAAAACAAGCACTGAATGCAACACTCATCAGCACACAGCTCCTGGAGTGGTGAAACTCACCAAACTCAGAACTCCTCTGAAT